CAATTCTTTTGGATTGCTATGTAGACAATCATATTATCTGCAAACCAAGACAGTTTTATTTCTTCCTTCCAAATATGTGTATCTTTTATTTCCTTGTCTTGTCTTATTGCATGCATTAGCTAGGGCTAACATAAATGGTGTTGTATTTTTAATTTCAAATTTCATCTATTCTTCTTGGTATATTGGAAAGCAATGCTCTGTTTTCTTGGTCAGCCTGGCCAGGTTTCATCAATTTTACTGATCTTTTCAAACACTCCGTTTTTGGTTTCATTGATTTTCTTTATTGTTTTCCTGTTTTCAGTTTCACTGATTTCTGCTCTAATTTTTTGGTAACAATTACTATTTTAATTCTAAACACAAGATAAAGTAATGTGGAACCTGAAGTACATTTAATTATTTACCTTAAAATATTTCTTTTGTAATACCTGTTAATAAATTTGTAAGGAACAAAAAAATGCCTCAGTCTACTTAAAAGTTTAATCTCAATGATGGTATGAAATAAAACAAATAATCAGCAAAATTCTTAGTAACTTGTAGAAATCTACTTTATTTCATGCAAAGCTACATAATTTCTTATATTTTAACAGATAATCAAATAAACATTTCAAAAATTCATTACATCACAGTAAGTTAAAATACTACAGAGCAATTGCAAGACCATGAGTTTGTCAAAACCAAACTGAGAGAACATTATGCATAGATAAGGCCAAAGATGCTAACTTACTTATAGTAGCACTTTGCAGGTTTTTCCAAATTCATATTTGAAAATGTTGTGAGAATCTGGAGAGAAAAATAGTTAAATCTACAACGCATTGGTCAGAAAGGAAAACATTTGCCATTACATACCAAGCAGTAACAGCTGATTAAAGATAAATTTGGCATCATGCACCAAAAATGAACATAATGAACATTTTGAAAATTATGATCAGATGTACATTTGAAAAGACTTATCTTCTATTTCACCTAATCCACTGAATTAAATAAGTAGCAAGTACTTTATTAATGCAACACAGAAATTAGGCTTTTGGTATGCTTTGCTTGGGTACTGGCATGTATTAAAAGATACTAAAGAGATTTATGAATATTTCAAATTCTACTAGACTACTGAATTTTAGAATACTGCCCTAAGGAAATAGGTTCAGGGCAGAACTTATTTGAGAAAGATTATTAAACTACTTAAAAGCAATGCTACAATTAGTTACTTACAAAAACATTTTATAAAAATTAAATACCAGGAAGTAACAACATCAACATTAGAGTTCTTTTTTCAATGCTACAATGTATAAATATATATTAGATTACAGTAATTTAAAAGAAAGATCCACATGCTCTCTACCTTATAAATGAGAAAAATCCAAGTTGTTTTCAAAATATGGACAAAAACAAATCCATTGGATTGCTTAAAAAAAAAAATACAGAATCTCTCCCCTACAACTTGGTGTACCAAATAGGGAAGATGCTAGCCAGTATTCTTTTGAGATATACACCTTTAAGTGACTATGTTGATAAGATTGATGTCAATAACTCAAAACAGTGTTGTACAGTCAGATTAACAAATTATGACCTTATCCTACATGTCTGCCACAGTAAACCACTCTTTCTAGTCTTTTGCACTAAGTACAATAATAATCTCCTTTTGCAAAATGATTTGCGATCAAGACAAAAGAAAAGATTTTCATGGGAAAAAAGGTTAATTCTTCCTAGGGAGGGTTAAAAACAAATGTCTTCTAGGATATCTATGAGAAAGGAACATGCCAATATTCTTGCTTTATTAACAAATTCAAAATTACAGCAAGGCTTTGATCAACCTCAGTGGACAAATCTTTTGAAAATGGAAATAAAACTGTAGGAAAACCAGACTGAACATGAAAGGGATTAGGGGTAAGGGCATGTTCCCATTGCAGTGGGACCAGAGATGGGACAGGGCTAGTGGCTATTCCACTGGTGTAGATGGCTCACAGGGCCTGGTTTCCAGGAGTTGGTACAAGGGATAACACTGCCTGGTCTTCCAGGTCTCTGAGCAGAAAAAGTCGCTGAGTTGGAAAGAAGTACCCCACACAGAGCGAATTCATATTTCAGAATGTCTCCTGTAACCCTCTTGTATTGTTCCAACCTCTCTTAACAAAAACTTTGACAATGATGTATGTTATTTACGAATTCCTTTTCATAAAAAAGAGGTCTCAAGGTTCTTAATGTTTTGGGTTTGTTTGTTTGGTTTTTAACAATCACTGTTTTTGGAAATCTAATTTTATGCTGAAACATTACACTGAGAATAATTCATTTTACTGAAGTGCCCTACTTAAGTGACAAAAAAGACAATACACTGAGCTAGCATGCATCACATTTACATTCAGATATAGCTTAATTGCCTAGCAAAATCTGTTTCACTACTTTATGTGCAATACTGCTATTCAAGTCATGGGATTTGTAGTCAGAACTACTACCTTTTACATGTACTGATCATCAAAAAGCAACTGTGTACACAAAACAAATGGAAGAAAAATCTGTCAGCACAGTCTAAGTTATACTATAAAGAGAGGCATCAGAAAGGAAGGAAAGTATAAAAGGAATGAGAGATGAAGGAAGAAAGGAAAGATAAAACTCTAAATCCATTTACTTCTTAACGTTTAGAATTCAATACAATATATTACACTTTGAAGATTCAAGTATGTTAAGATTATTCAGGGATGTGTTTTGTCTCTTAGTGCAAATATATTTATCCTTGTGATTTTCAGGCATGGCCCACTCAAATCACAAGCATAAAATTCACATTACTGAACAGTGTGAATTATAATTATGGAGAGTTTATTTTTCCTTTAAAATAGCAATCAACACAAAAATCAAGAACATTCCCTAAATCTACTAAAGGTATTTAAAAATGAGGTTTGCTATTGTACATCAATGAAACTTCTTCATTAATACTCTAAAATATACTTAAAAAAACACACAGGACTTTCCTATCCACATTTAACTTCATTTGGGTACATAACCAGAGTAAATTTAAGAAATGACAATATAATCAAATAGTAGAGCCCCAAAACAAATCAAATAGCAACATTTTTTTTTAGAAAGTTTCGATTGTCGAATTCTCTGATCTGTAAATAAATAGCCCTCGCATGTTCTGATTTGCTTCCTACTATTGTGAAATGAGGGCCTCTTGTGTGATGAAGTTATTCCAAAGGCCTTCTATTCATTTGATAAGAGAACACATTCTGATAATTAGGCTTATTTTAATAATGATTTTTACAGAAATGCTCTATTGATAATAATAAATTATTAACGCAGTAACAAAAGTTAATTAGCAAATTACAGGTTAATGAAATTAACAGATTATTCATTGTTACTTTCTGCAATGGTTATTTTGAATTACTGGCTTATCGAATATCCTTACCAAACAATTATTTATAAAAATAATTTAGAAAATTTAATCAGATAGCCATTGTTATGTAAGAAAGACATCAAAAGGTAACTGCCAGAAGTAATTCAAGAAAGGTACTTTACATGCAAAGTGTATGAACTTAGTAGTAATGTTTTGCAGTAGATGTCATTACATTTTCATAAGTTTCTCAAAACAGAAAATGTCCGTTCTTACTACAGTTTTTTATACAAGGTGACTTAACAAATATTAACTTAGTTCCCCAGCAATAAACTCAGTGGTTAAATCATTACCTTCTCAACACAAATGTACCCAGCCAGGTAACCTACCTATATGATCTGATCATATATGAAATCCTGCTAGATAAATTCTGATTGAAAAGCTGAATACTCTGGATCACTCAAACAACCAAAAATTGGTTTGAAAATGACTCCAAAGTCTTAAAGGGATCTATACTATTTGTGAATTATTACATATAGTTCGATTATTATAAAAAAATTAATAATGGAGGAAAGTAGTACATTCCCTTACATATTTCTATCGACTTATCTCAAGTTATTGTAAGTTATAAAGTAATTGGATCATCTCTTCTCTTTTTCTATTTCTACAGTAGCATCTCAGTTTCATGATAAAGCCTGATGAGAAACAACATTATACTTAAGGAAAATATTCCAAAGTAAACCCAAAGACTAAAAAATAAACCGTATTATTTTCACAGGATCTTGATGAAGTATTCCAAAAAGAGTTTTTGCTTGGTGGACTTACAAGCTTCTCTGTAATAATAAGAAACTGGACCCCTTTCTGGGGTGATCCTTTTCCTATCCAATACCTTCAAATACCATTTAAGGAAACCAGAACAGCTAACAACTTATTTTGTCTTTTTAAACTCCACTATCTAAACATCAACTCAATACCCTCACAATAGCTTTGTGAGGTAGATCAGGAGGTAAACAGCAAGTATCATTTTCATTTCGAAAAAGAAGAAATTGAGGCACTAAAAGGTTACATGACTTGCCCAAAGTTTCAATGGTCAATCATGAAATTACAGTGTTAAATTATCTCTGCTCCTGGCCTACTGCTCTCTAACGATACTTCACAATAAAAGGCTGTGTGTGTGTGTGTGTGTGTGTGTGTCCTTAAATGGACAGCCAATATAACCTTCGAGAGTAAAATCTATCCACTGATAATTATTTTAAAGGGGATCTAATCTCAGAGATTGTAAAACTTTTTAAAAATCAGATTATTAGGATGATACGCTAGTCCTTTCAGTATCTGCATAGAACTGTGTCTTTTTAAAAATTTACATGATAACACTAATAGGAAAATAAAAAATTTAAATTATGATTCAGGGAAAAATTACCTTCAAGAAACATATAATCAAATTGTTTGGGTGACTATATAATTCACCTTCAAACTGGGATATTTAAGAGTGAAAATGAACGCTATTAAAAGTTACGCAGGATAATAGATGTTAAACTAAGATGGCCGTGGGCAAGTTCAAGTATGATCACCACTGGGTGAATCCACAGTATGGATTCTCTAAGAGCTGCAAATACTTCAGGGACATAAAAACTCTCTGCAAGTGTGTTGTGCTCAACTACATCCACTGTGCAATAAAACGCTGATGATTTAAAATATATCTAACTTTGGCTTAAACACAAAGTTTAAAAAATTCAATTTAAAATAATATATTTAACCAACAAGTTATTACACATCTCCATTATAATAGAGTTTTCTGTTCTCTGTAAACCACAATTTAAGTGTTAGTAATAACAGTAAAGATTCACTTTGTAACATTTGAATAACCAGATGTTCCTTTTCAAAAGGCATAAAGAGGCACCTTTAAAAAGTGGATAATTTTGTGGGGCTCTTCGGCTATTAAAAAAACCCCACACTTCACCATTAACAATTGCAATTCTCCTTGAGTGGAATGATCAACACTTAAATCAGTATGCTATATGATAAAGGGGAACACCTCTCTAAAATGAAATCTTTTACAAAGCAATACCAAAAGCGTAAGATAATTTCCAGTTACTACCAGAGACTGAAAAAGTAATACACTGCCTGATTATAGTACACATGCTGAACATACAAACACTATCAGTTGAAGTATAATCTTAATTATACATGCAAAAACCTCACTAATTTACATACAGAGTTGAAAAAGAGCTTTCTACATTCAGTTATGTCTGGTAAGTAAGCTTTGTTTTAAGACATGGGTTTTGTAAATATGGTTATTATCTGAGGTCTCCATCTCTTTGGGAAATAAAGGATCAACACATCCTTCAGAAACAGCAAAAATGTAAATCACAATAATAAAACTGTATAACATTATTCAGTTATGACTTATGGCTTCCTTGGACCTTTAAAACAATTTTCCTGAAAAAAATTAATCTGAAACAAATTTAACTACATATTTTCAACATATACTGATCTTTACCATGAATGAAATCCTTCCACCATAACTGTACTTCTAAGGCAGACACTTCAGGAATGGTATGTAATGAATCCTATTAGAAAAGATGACACTCTATTTCAGTGAACAATATAAACTATTATTACTAAGATGTGATTAATTTTAGTGCCTTTTTTTATCCTGACACTTTTCACTGAGAGTTAAGTGTAAATTCTAGGGCATACAGATGTTCATAAAGACTGAACTAATGTGTTGATCTTGGTTAGTTATTCCATAAATTCATACAGACTTTAAACATCGTCAAATATTCTGCTGCGAGACATTGAGAGGTATCGTCCACCAGGCTGATACCTGAAAGGTGGATAAAGAAATGATCTGAGGCATCAAAAATAATAAAGGAGGAGAGAAAAATAAGAACACATTAAGAGGAAGTGGCTACATAGTTTGTAAGCACTGTAAAATCTATTCAGTAGCTGAAATCAGAAACTTATTCTCAAAGGATGTTATTCCAAAGGGATTTACCTAATTACAAACCAACCAACAACTGTTTTAGAACCTATGCCATATGACACATATGGCAGGATGAGAGACGTAAAAAGAAAAGGGTGGGGAGATGTACGACAGACACATCACGGAACGTAAGAGATATTAATAGATATTCTAGGTATTAATCTAGATTGTTGAATATAAATACACTATTCTCGCTTCCTTGCTATTTATAAGCAATACTATAGCAAATAACTTCATGTATATATTTTGCTTTTGTTTAATTATTTTCACATAGTATAGTGGCTAAAAGCACAGACTCTGTAGCCAGAGTCCCAGGGTTTAAATGCCTAACTGTCATTTACAAGGTTTGTGATGCTGGGTAAGTTACTGAGCCTCTCTAGATCCAAATTCAATTGGATTTACAACCATAAAATACAATTATTATTGTTAAAGTGCTTAGAACAGTGTCTGACACCCAGTCATAGCTATGTAACTTTTGCTAAATAGGATACATTTCATAAATGGGATTGTCAGAAATAAGCATATAAATACTGTTAAGATTCTACCAATTGATTGCAATTCTTCTTTCTTATTTATAATACCACTAGTTGCTTATGAAGATACTTCTAATTGCCACCACTGTATGCTATTATTTCTTAACTATAAAAGCATCAGAAGGTATAAAAAGGTATCAAAGGTTGCTTAAAATGCTTTTTATTGGTAGTAAAGATGAGTATTTTCCTTACGCTTATTTATCTTGTCAAGGCAGAACGTTATCAAAATTTCAGAGGAATGCTGGAGCCAAAATGGCACAGCTGGAACTTACCTTCCTGACTCAGATTCAAGAGGATCATCAGTGAATGTTTCTGCATTAAAATCCAAAGGTTCTGCATCTTGGAGAAGTTCTATTCGGTCCCTTTCATTCCTATTATTAGATCTGGTATATTTGGATGCTGCTGCAAAGGAAGAAAAAAAAGTCCACTTACTATTGTCTTTGTGGGTCACAATCTATGGACACACAGAAAGAAAATTCAAGATTATAAAGAATCTTTATTTTGATAGTGAAGACAATATTAAGAAAAAATAACTACATGGTTATCTTAAAATCAGATTAAAATAATAAATAGTATGACAGAAAATAACAAAGAAAAGTTCTCCCTTTAGCTAGTCAAAGCTCAGAAGCAGCTACAGTGCAAAGACTTAATATGAATTAGAATTAATACTTAACTATGGTATCGTAACAGTGAAACTGTTCAAATCAAATCTAGTTTCAGCTGGTTTCACAGTGAATCCAGGGCTGTTACATCTCATTTCTCAGCTAGGATTTTCTTTAAGGTATAATCAACTCAAACGCTTCAAGAAAGGCTTGAGTCTTTTTCCCACGAGGCAAGAGTTCAGGGCAGTAATGTCCAACAGAAATAAATTGCAAGCCCCATATTTACTTTTAAATTTTCTACCAGCTACATTAAGAAGAAATAGGTGAAATTAATTTTAATATATTTAATTTAGCCCAATATATCCAAAATATTATCATTTCAACATGGGGTACCAGCCATATTGCAAATGCTCAACTGCCATATGTGGCTAGTGGTTACTATCCTGATCAATGCAGGTCTAGAGAACTCTCTCTTTATGTGATATAAGGTTTTCTTTATAAAGAACCTAAAGTTTTCACGTTATTCTGAGCAGTCCAATAGCTTCAATAAAACTATGATACAATTCTTTTTGAAAACTTAAGGCAAGTCAAGCTCTCACACCTTACATTTTTGTCATCTTGGACTCTGTCCTTCATCATTTCCCTCATTCATCAGCAAACACTTGTTGCCTACCAAATGTCAGGTTCTAACTCATCATCCTCCCTCTGTTTTTGAGTTTTAACTGAAACTTTAGCTTTCTTCTATTTCCTTTACCCTAAATATCATCCAACACATCCTTTCCTCTTCATCTTCAGGGTCACTATTTATTTTATGCCCTCATCATTTTTTGACTGAATTACTAAAACAGATACTAAACTGGTTTCTGTGTCTCACTTACCAGGAAATCATGCTTTTTATAGATGTCAAATTTCTCTTTCTAAACCAAAAATCTAAATCATGCTTCTTTCTAGATTGAAATCTTATCTTTGGGATAAAACCCAAACTTCTGAGCATGATAATACCTGTTTCCCAACTATCTCTGCAGCCTCCCCTCTCATCAGGCTCCTCATACTTTAGGCTGTAGTCACAGAGAAAAACCTAAATTTCCCCAAAGGTTCTCACATGCCACTCATTCTTCCTTTTAAAGACACCTTCACCTGGATAAGTACTACTCATTTCTAAACAGCATTTCTTTATAAAACAAATCCTTTCCCAATAAAGAATTCTTTTTCCATCCTCTGAGCCAAGTTCCCTCAGCATCAGGTGTGCACCCTTATACTACCTGAGCATTCCTGCATCTCCCCCAAAAACAAACAACCTCTGCCTTCTATTTAGTGCTGAATCCTGGACAAAAACAGGTTTTCTGTTGCTTCCCAGAAGCAGGTGGCAGGGTCAAGGGGAGGTTTCTTAACTCAACCCACCAGCAAATGTCCTCTGCCTGGTATCAGTCCCTCACTAAATTATGGGTATCCCAAGGGTGGAAATTTATCTTCTTTGTATTCCTGGGAAACTACCTGACATATATGGGCCAGTCAGTAAATTATTATAAAAATGACTGAATATCCTACACCAACTAATAGGAAAGTAAAGAAAAACATCTAGGTAAATAGAAATCAGTATCTGCCTAGAATATGACTGGGATAAGTATTGTTATTTAGGGTAGTACAACTACAACTATTCATTTGATGTCTCAGATGTCTCCTCCTACCAGAATGCATATGTGAGTTTCCCCTTCCTCCCCTATGCTGAGAGATAAGAAGGGAAAGTCACTGCAGAACCACGTGTACAGTTCTATAAAGATATTTCTGGATGGGGAGCCTAATCCTCAGTCTCTATGCAAGTAAGCACAAGAAGAAAAATTTCTAAGAAAACTAGACAATAAACTACTTACATCGGTTGGTACTAATATCTGAGAAGTTTGATTCTTTTGGGTCAATATGAACATTTCTGTTTCTAGTAGAATCTTCTCTACTGTGCCCATAACGTTCTTTCCATTCCTAGCAAAGAAACACACATGAATATACGACACAAGAATCACAGTCAGAAAATAATTCATCAGTGTTAACAGATTTAGATTATATATGGAAAGTAATAGGATCTACTTTCTTTTTCATCAGGAAGTCATCAGATAATCAATATAATTAGCACAGTACCTTTAAAACTCAGATCAATAATTTTCTTATCTCAACATGATTTTAAGTCACCAAACTTAACCTGAATGAAGACATTTATAGACATTTTTGCTAGCTATGACTATTTTAAGTTATTGAATTCTTCTATTTAAAATGTCAAAATAATAGTAAGGTTACCCTGACCATATAAAAGTTATGATAACTCATAATGAGATGTTAACAAAATTTTCTTCCACCCCAATAAACTACGAATCTTAGACACCTGAAAAGTCATTTTTCACAGCAGAATTAAGAGTACTACACAAACATAATTAGATAATGACATATGGCATTGTATCTTAACTGTGCTAAAACCATATTAACTGGAATTATACTCATTAGATTCTTAACAGCTGAAAGGGATTTTAGAGGTACTAATTAAACCTCCAGTGCAGTGCAGGATCTCATTTAAAATAGCCATGCCAGATGTTATTTGGCTGTCTTACTAGAAGACCTGGAAATTTCTACGTGTCATCCCATTGCAATTCTGGTAAACTACGGAAGTTTTCATAGAGAGGTGAACTCTGTCCAGTAACTTCCACTCTTTGGTCCTAGTTATGCCTTCTGAAATAAAGAATGAGTCTCCTCTTACATGATACACACTAAAATACGCAAAGATAACTATCATGTTTGCTGGGTCTTCACTTTTCCAGCATGGACACACCCAGGTGTTGAAAATTTATGGTAACTGTGACTAGATTTTTCTCATTTTTGCCTTTTCATTCTCTGGGAGGTCAGTTTGCCTCAGAAAATGAAGGACTAAAGAAAAATTAAAGAGGAATAAAATTAATGTCACATTACAAAAAAGGCATAATTTTAAAGCAATCAAAATCACTTTAATAGCAGGATTACATAAATTTATTCACTTATTCAATAAATATTTACTGAGCACCTACCCTAGACAAGAAACTCTTAGATGTTAGACATGAAGCAATTTATTACTAATGACTTTTTAGAACAGGGCTGACAGGACACCTCACATGTATGTTTGCAACTATTAAAATGGCCTTTCTGTAAAAATATATCCTGTGTCATTTCCCTACTATTCTTTGGTTTTTAGCCAATTATTCTAAATCAATAAAATTCTTACGATATTTCACATTAATCTCTAGGTTACAGCAATTTAATAAGTACTGTACTTACTCTTCTTCGATTTTCACCTTCTTCTTGTCGTTGCCTTTTTCTCTTCTCTAGAGACAGAAAAGTGGTCTCAAATTTGGTATAACATGGTTTAATTAGATGTAGAATAACTGAAGTAAAGGTATCAGGCTATGACCAATTTCCTTTAAATTACTACAGAGTCAAAGGTAATAGGATATTGGTGGAAAGAACCTTACAGGTCACCTAACTCTATAGAGAATACCTTCTCTACTTTTGTTGAAGATGGCCCTTTCGGCGCTATCTAAATAGTTTTAGTGAGGAAGAAGTTCTTCCCCATGGTGACTTAAAATTTGTTTTTCTGTAACTTCTCTTTTTCTTTACATCTTATCTTCTAAACTAAGTTCATACTTCTTTCTGTATAAGAGTCTTTTCCATCCCTTTCTTCTGGCTATATACTCAATGGTTCTCTCTCATAAGATATGCCCTACAGACTCATCGTTCCAGCTATCCTCTCTAAATTCCTTCTGACTTATCAGTCTCACTCTTGAAAATCTTACCCAGGACTAGACATTATATTCCAGATGAAGTCTAATTAATGCAAAAAGCAGTAGAACTATTATATTAACTAGACACTACCTTCCTATGAGAGCATGTGAAGGCTAGACTGGCTTATTTTAGAGCCACAACACAATTTGGCTTACTTTTAAGTAAGATCACACAAGAACCCCAGACCCAGGTAGGGAGGATATCTAAGAGCCAACATCCTAAAACTCACGTTTTGTTCTTCTTTCCCCCCAATTCTACCATCACTTGAACGTCAAGAAATTTGGTGCAGTCAGTTTTGAGATTGGATTCTAGTAGAGTGTCATGTATTCTACCAGGTTGTTAATGATCATCATTCTAAAACCCAGTCTTGGCTTGAATGATTTCCTATGCAGCATTAAAATAATTATGATTCTTTAACAAGTTTTATAATTGTATTTATCTTGGCAAATCAGTTTCAAAGCAAACAGGAAAATGACTCTAATACCAAACAAGGACATTATTTAGTTGCACACATATTAATAATTTCTGCTGAATTTCTTACAAACAGATGAAACAATCATGTTTTTAAATTATTTTTGCTATGAAAGCTTTACGTAGAATTTTAGCTAAAATAATTAATTTGTGATTTCTTAAGATCAACTAGAAGTTATAAATTATACAAACATTAATTTTGTACTTTGAGTCTTAGTACTTTCCTTTCATTTATTTGAAAAGACAAACTTACCTCGTCTGATTAATTCTTTTCCTTCATCAACTAAGTCTGATGTCATATCATTATCTCCCATGAACTGCTGGAAACCAAGTAGATTCAAACAACGAGTTCCCAAACTAGTAAAGGTAGATTTTCAAAAAGATAACCATTATTTTACACTGTAAATGCTTCAATTATTCTTTAGTATTGTCATCCAAAAGAAACCTATGTTTTACTATTAGTTATCATGTCAAGTTACATAGAGTGACATTTGTCTTTCTTGAATAAGTGCTTATTTCTCTTTCTAGGATGCTTAAATGCCTAGTACTCCATTGACTAGGGTATGCACCATACCAGATTTTTTCCTTCTATAGTTGACAAGGCACTATCCCACCCATCTATTCCTTGATTCACATAATAATCTAGTAAGAGAAAAAGAGATGCTAATCTTACCAACCTAACTACTAACATGATAAGACATGATTTATATAACACAAGCTCCTAATGTTCCATTTGTAGTTTATAAACTTTTTAAATGAAAAAGTATACAATCAAAATTTAGTTTTAGACATCCAAAAGATGATTAGTCTCTTCCTTTAATACACCATTTTCATAATATAAACCTCTGTTTTTTTCTACTTTACATAAAAAAATTGAAAATATTAGATTTTCTATTAGTTCATATTAACAGTTTTATTTTAAATTATAATCCTTTAGCTCCTTTACTTACAATAAGGTAAAATATAGATATTTTTAAAAATTCAATAGCGAATTTATTCAAACAATACCTGTCTGTTTACTCAATATCCTGATATTGGTACATATATAGTATTTATGATAACTATATAATGGTATTGGAAGATTTAAATGAAAAGTGGTTAGATGAAACTCATTTTTGTTAGAAAAGCAAACTGATTGACATCAATAAATTTTTTTTAAAGTAGCATTTTTGGTGTGTCATGGAGCACATAAGCAGTGAAGAGGATAGGCAGAGTACAGGGTGAGGGTGCCTGACACGTGGAAGTGGGAAGACAGGGCACCAGGAAGTCAAACGTACCTGTCCTTTAAGTCCTTTTGAGTCTTACCTCTGCCAAGATGCTACCACTTTTTCTGATCCTATAGAAAAAGCAGCCTCATATGTACTGCCTGATTATAATTGCTCCTCACCTGACCCATTGTGCTGGCTATGGTCTGAAGTATCTAGAAACCCAAAAATGACCATGGGGAAAAGCCCTCAGACTAATTTATGCTACTGGATATAAGCTGGGCATGGAAGTGTTTTATAAGCTACACTGACTGCTAGTATCAAAGGTCAGGACTTGGAGATAACATTCTGTAATTAATCCTATCACTTTGTAGTCTAAATTCTTGTAAGAGAACAACTCTACCTCCCTTTTCTTGACAATATCTCGGGAGGAAGAACTTGACCCAATCATTCAAGCAATCTCTTTAAACTATCCCTAGCATCCCCAAAGCCACAATAAAACAAAGAACCAAAATCCAACCAGTGAATATTTAAAAGAGCTTTAAGGTTAGAAAGAATATCCAGATCAATCTAAGAGTATGTGGGAAAATAAGCAATGTTAAGTTTCTTACCTAAAATAAGTAGCAATGCAGAGAATTACCACCAACATAGGATAATATATATAGAACCCATCTGCAATAAAGGATAAAACTTTCATGGAACCCATAATCTGAGGAGCAAGAAAAAATTAAGTTAAATTAGTACAAGTTCTATATCTTCCAACCATTTTCATCATTAGAAAATTCACCCAGAAACTGTTATATCAATAAATTTGGAGTTTTCAAAAAATGAAGCACTGAATAGACTGATTTTTAAGCTCTCATCACAAGACAAAAAGAAAATTGTAACTGTGACATGATGGATATTAACTAAACTTATTGTGGTAATCATTTCACAACATATATATATATCAATTTATATTGTACACAAACTAATACAATGTTATATATGTCTATTATATCTTAATTTGCTTATTTATTAAGATTTTCTCCTAAATGAAATTAATATTTTATATTTATTACTGAAAATCATCAAATATGTTAAGACCATAAACAGAAAAGTTAATATTATTATAGGTCAGGTCTACTGATACTGCTCAGCTGGACAACCTAAAAATGTATATATATTTTTTTAATTGAAGTATAGTCGACTTACAATGTTGTGTTAGCTTCTGGTGTACAGTGTAGTGATTCAGTTATATATATATATACACATATACATATATGTATTCTTTTTCATTATTACACGTTATTGATTATAGTTCCCTGTACAATACAATAGGACCTTGTTTCAAAAAATAATTTTTTATTAAAATCACTTTTATCCAATTATTAGTAATTACATATATAATCTTTGAAAGAAAGTTTTAGTTATTTTATAAAGATCTAATAATGCTACAGAACTTTTCTGCCAGCATTAAAGAGAAATTTCACAGTAATAGCATCCCATGTAGATAATGAATCTAAAGAACTCTTTTCTGAACATACTTACAGATGTATAAGCAGTTGGCTGTGTATTCTGGTGAGAGATGGATGAATCCATATGGGTCAAACCCAAGAAATTAAGACATAAAGGAGGAGTCAAACGGCAAAATAACCTGCAATAAGCATTTATAAACACAATATATAAGATTATATATATATATAATAAAGCAGCAAAATACATTTTATATTATGTTGAAATACATTAAGAACATTTTAGATCACTGTAATTATTATTCTCATCTATTTGTATTTTGAATTCTAACTCAGAATTGCCCTTACTTACTTGGAAGACATTCTGAATATCCTATTAATCACATCCTCCTTAAAAACAGCAACACCTACATGGCAAAACACCAGCCTCAGGACACCTCCTTTGGTGGTGTTTGCACTGCTTTATCTGAACAATTTGTAGAGTAGCTTTGTATGTACCTCTTCCAAGACTACCATCTCTGCAATCTGTCTCAATAGCATGATAAGAACAGTAACATCCTCAAGGTGAACTGAATTCAGTACATAAAAGATCCAAACTTGTATCAAAGTATGCCACTCTGACAACTACAGGTATAAATAATTGTTAGAGCTGAGTTTTGACCAGATAAAAAGAGAACATGGCTGGAGATAAAAATGATGAGAGGGTATGAATACAAAGAGGTAATGTGAGGAGTTCTTTTATGGTGATAGAATAGTTCTGTATCTTGACTGTGCTCGTGGTTACAGGAGACACACAGACACACACACACACACACACAAATGAATAAAGGATAAAAAATGATGAGAAATAAATAAGGTCTGTAATCTAGTTAACAATAATGTATCAATGTAAATTTCCTGGTTTTGATATAGCACAATCGCCACATAAGATGTCTCTATTGGGGGAAGTTGGGTGAAGGTTAATAGGACTCTTTGTATTATACTTACAACTTGCTTTAAGCCTCTAATTATTTGTGGGAAAAGTTAAAAAGAGTCTTAGAGATGCTTCAGATATTGATTTCTCTTGAAGTTCCCCAAATCTGGCTTTTATAAAACCTAGTATGACTAATTTAACAACATGGACAAATAATAGATTGTGCAACCTAGTCCAAGCTAGAGCCATCTCTCTAAACCTCTGCTAAATTTCTTAGCAAAGAGTATTCTTTTTGGTGTTCTTAGTCCTCCATAATTCAGTTCCAGGCCACTGAATCTCAGAATACTTTCTAGGTCTACCTTCATCTCTAAATTCTCAAATGCTCCTGTCATTACTAACTTACTTATTGACTCTCTAACTGGTAAATCCAGGCTCACTATATCTTTCTTTTCCTTTCTAATCTAGCATACCTATTTTAACCTTAAACTTCAAGCAGAATTTAGCTAGCAATCGACAAGCATCTAATTAATACTAAAACCTAATCAAAATTAGCTCATAGAAATACAGGTGTTAGTGGAAGGTCCATAAATAAGAAATAAAAGAAAGAACCATGAAAATACATGCAATGGAGACATTTTTCTTGTTTCTAAACACAATCTACTTACATGCCACTGAAAAGAAGGCTGTAAGCATCAGTCTGATGATGGGAAGCCAAGTAATAATAGTTAAATACACGAATCCTGAACACAGTAGAATAAACACAGATACTGAGGAAGAAGATGGAAAGGAAGCAAGCAATCTAAACAAAAAAACAAAACAAAAAACCCAATTTAAGACTGAAAGACTTCAGCACTTTGTGTACAATCACAAGCCCTGTACTTTAATTTCAGCTAACATTTACTGACATTCTAAAATTTAAGCATAGTCACAATTTTTTAAACTCCTAAGAAAATGAAATTATGAAAAAATCTACATCTCAATTAGTCCCACATCCTATCCATAAGTTTCAAATCCACCTCCTGAAATGAGCCTGTTCTCCCATTCCCTTGGAAACTCTTCACATGAAGTTATGAAGCTTCATTGGCATAAAGAGGATCAAGGTATTCTCATAAAAATATTTTGCACTGTTTTGCATCTTTTCATCTCTCCTCAAATACAGTTCTTAGTTTCTATAGTCTGAGTAAAATGTTGAAGCTCATTTTTAGAAGTCTGAATAATAACACTGTGGGAAACTTCACTGCTTTCATTATTACTAAAAGAAATATATGGAGAAAAGCAACAACAGTTAAGAATTATACTATAAACTGCCATTTATTTATGATAAATATAAAGTAAACTGACCTCAATATAAATATAATTGTATGTTTTTTCGGCCAGCTGTATGAAAACTGCAAAGAGGGATAAGACAGGCGTAGTGCTAAAGAATGTGCACTCTGACCACACAACAATTACGGAGAAGATGGACAACACCACGGCAAGTATCCTATAAAACCATGGCCGCAAAAGACACTCCCAGTACCACTCTGGAAGATAAAAGAAAAAAATGATTAGGAAAATCATAAAGGAATAACAGCATATTCACAGAGTTTTGAAAAAATAAAGTAAACATAAGTTCTAATACTGTGACACTGTGGTATTCTCATTAAGTTCTTCACACTAAATTTGATAATATTTATAGATTATATACTAAATAATCACAAAGGAGAATAAAATAATTATGACTATTGAATGTAGGTTTTGCAAATAGACTAATATATGTAAATAGTCAAAGAGGACATTTTAGGGGAACATTTTAGTAGTATATCAAGACTAAAGATGAGAGCCAAGCTTCTGATTTAAAATTGCTTAAAATTCTAATTGTTTCAAATACATAATAAGTATATAAAATATTCTTAATATACTGCATATATTTTTGCATAGAATTTTGGTTATATGTGAAGTAACAGTGGAAACTGACAGATAATAAGTTATATGACAAGTAAAATAATTTTGGGAGAGAAGTTTATCAGACATATAATATTACCACTTAGTATAAGTTAAATAACACAAATGCAATTCAACTCTGCATTGGTAAAAAAAATATATACTACCCTTCAGAAAAATCATCATTGAAATTTATATCAAATTACATACCAATAGTAGGATTATAAAAATATTGAATAAATCTATTTTCTGGCTCCGGAGATTGAAAGGTGTGAACAAACTGACAAGTACCACTAGTTTCATTTTTTGCTACATCTTCTAGATAAAATGCTTGTTCCAAAAGAATCTGCCACTGTACTTGAGTTCGGCGGTGTCTCTGAACTGAATAAATCACCTAGAAAAGAGAACAGGGGTATACCTGTCAGTGTTCTGATCCAACAGCAGTACAACTCCCCACTAAGGAGCATGTCTGGGTTGTCACAACAGTGGGGAAGTGTGAGTAGCATCTACTGGGTGGAGCCAAGGATGTTAATATTCTAAAACACATGTAATTATGCTCAGGGAATAATTCTCCCTCCCAAATGCCAACAGTGCCCTTGCCGAGAAACACAAAGTTCAAACACTTCAAAGAACAATGATAAGGACAGGATCAAAGGAAGTTTCTAATACACATTCAGTCAAAATTTCTTTTTTTGTGGGCAGTAACTATGAATCTAACTAAAACTGTCAGAAGGTAAAATGGCTATACTTAACAGAGTTACCTGTTTATGTAGTTTTACCAGACTTTTTTCACTTGGATAGGCATTACGCTTTTCATCAAAATCTTCATAATCATCCATGTTCCTACCCATTTTTTCCTGATATTCTACAGGGCACTGAAAGGAACAGGTAGATCTTTAGAAATCTTATTTGCAAGAAGATAAAAATGTTATTTTTATTAAAAATCTGTCATTCTTGGACATTTCTAATTTTCTCACAAACATCTTCCTTCATTGGTATCTCTAAATAGTCGGATTTTTAGTTGCTGATGTTTTCTTGAAAATGTTTTTTAAGATGCACTGAGTTTCTTCCTACCTCTATTAATATTAATCTTTATGCTCAGATACACTAGGTGGTGATGGGTAGGGCAGGGTATCTTACCTACATAAAGCAACTAGCATTTGAAGAAGATTATTTTAGGTAGGCACCTACTGAAAATGTCATTTGTTTTCCTAGCTAAAGAATGAAGAAGAATCACAACAAATTCAAGATGTTAAATTTCTGAAAGGCATAGTACAGATGATTTGGAGTCATCTGCCCCACTATTAACAGTCATTTAATACCTATATGAACTTGAGTAAGTTAGTTAACCTCCCTCAAGAGGTCTCAAAAGGTATCAAATTTAAGAGAAACGATTAGAGACTTGATTTTCAAGACTATCATATTAACCAAAAGGAACACTAGCTAATAATCAATATAACAGATTAAAATATAGGAAAATAACTGGACAGCCACATGCAAAGAAAATGAAACTAGACCACTATTGTACACCATACACAAAAATCAACTTAAAATGGATTAAAGACTTGAATGTAAGACCTGAAATCATAAAACTCCTAGAAAAAAAACATAAGCAGTAAGCTCTTTGAAATTGTTCTTAGCAATATCTTTCTATATATGTCTCATCAGGCAAGGGAAACAAGAGCAAACAAATGTGATTATATCAAACTAAAAAGCTTCTGCACAGCAAAGGACATCATCAATAAAATTAAAAGACAGTCTACCAAAAAGGTGAAGATATTTGCAAATGATACATACGGTAAGAGGTTAATATCCAAAATATATAAAGAAACTAATACGGCTCAACAACAAATAACCTGATTGAAAAATGGGCAGAGGAACTGAAGAGAGATTTTCCAAAGAAGACATACAGATGGCCAACAAGTACATGAAAAGATGTTCAACATCACTTAATTACTAGAGAAATACAAATCAAAACCACAAGGAGCTATCACCTCACACCTGTCAGAATGGCTATTATCAAAATGACAAGAAATAACAAGTATTGGCAAAGACGTGGAGAAAAGGGAACTCTCCTATACTGTTGGTGGGAATGTAAATTGGTGCAGCCACTACAGATGACAGTATGGAGAGTCCTCAAAAAATTAAGAATAGAGTTACCATATGATCCAGCTATCCCATCTGGGTATTTGAAGAATAAGAAACACTAATCCACCTTGCAGCATAATTTATAATAGCCAAGATAGAAAAACAACCTAAGTGCCCATCAAGAGACGAATGGATAAAAAAGATGTGGTATCTATACAATGGAATACTATTTGGCCATAAAAAAATAAATTTTGCCATTTGTGACATGGATGGACTTGGAGGGTATTATGCTAAATGAAATAAGTCAGACAGAGAGAGAAAGACAAAAAACAATAAACAAAAAAAAACAAAAACAAAGTAAATGAACAAACCAAACCAAATAAAAATAAATACATAGATACAAAGAACAGAGTAGTCGTTACCAGAAGGCAAAGGGTAGTGGGGAGGGTGAAATGGGTAAAGGGGATCAACTGTATGGTGACAGATGGAAAATAAATTTTTGGTGGTGAGGATGTTGCAGGGTTTATAGAAGTAAGACTATAATGTACATGAAAACTTACATAATGTTATAAATCAATGTTAGTTACCTCAATAAAAAAATAAAGACAAACATACAAATCTTTAAAGATAAATAAATCGAATTAAATACAGAAAAAGGAATAGTTCACTGGTTCTGTAAATGCAGAGAAGACAGTTGGGGAACTCATTCCTGGAATAATCAATTTTGGAAGTATATTTAATACCCTTAATGCAATACCAATACATCAAAACCTTAACTGTATGGTTTCTTATTAAATATCTGTATTAAATATTTCACAATGTCATTCATTCTATGAAATATGAAATACAAAATAACATGTAGAAGGCTGATTGAAAGTGATCATTGAGGTCATAGTTTATTTTCTTACAGAAGATATGCCTTTAGAGACCACATTTAATGACATTTTTATAAACTATAAAGGTCTAGCTCCATCACTAAGTCATGGAAATCATTATTTATTACTTTACATAACCTCTATAGCCACATTTCAATGGAAAATACTGCCAGTAAATAAGGTTAAGCTTATAATTAAAAAAGTATAAATTCTATGAACAAATTACTACTGGCTATAGTTAATATTTCCCTGAAAATGGAAAGCAGTTAGAAGACTTCAATCATGGGCTGTTCTCATACTTTCTTTTTCTGGTGCTTTTATTATGATGTTATATCACATAAACATATTTCAAAGGAAAACAGATGAGATATAATTTAATTACCTTTTTAAGTATTGTGTCCACACATTTTCTCAATGGGTGGTTATACTTGATGCTCTCATTCACTTTACGAACTTCCTATAAAAACAGTAAGAGAAATAAAAGTATTTCCATTTCCATAGTTTAGACACTTCTAATGAGGATGCTGCAGGTACTATATATATATTCTTACAAGTTTGGTTTCAACCCAAATTACTTAATATGTACACAAAGTTTCATTCACAGAATAAATTTATTAAGAACATAAGTCAAAACATAAAGTTATAGAACAGCTATAGCTATACCCTCACGCTTTTCATTACTTTCTAGATTTGCTGCCTTATCATTTGCTTACTTGGTAAACCAAGATGAATAAACATTATAAAAAGTTATGAAGGATCAGGCAAACTTTGCAATTCTACAGGAACAGGACTGTGTTCACCTTGCTCATCAAGCTCAATTATCTCATTATCTAAAGTACAGTGAAGAAACCAAAGCAGAATAGGCTAAAATGTCACAAAGCACCTGTTCCTTTCCAGTGAGAGAGTACTCTACAGCAGTCACAACTAATGACTCCCTATACTTTTTTTCAAGTTGAGAATACACTATATGCCAGCACTGTGCTAGGTATAAGGTCACCACAATCTACACTGGAGGGTGTGGTGGGAAGACACGGTGTTACAGGTCTTTCACTAAGATTACAGTGTGGTGATGAGATAATTAAACAAACACTTTAATGAGTGTGAAAGGCATAAAGGGGTTAGGGAGGGGAATCTTTAGAACCAGTAGTTCCCAAAGAGTCACAATATTCCATAATGCTAATGAAATTTCAAAAAAGTTAGAACAACTGTTCTAGGAAGAAGCAACATGTTCAACGGCTAAGGGGCAAGAGTGAACCTACCAGGATATTATAAAGAACATTTTGATTTTAGGGCAGAGAATGGCCTTAAGGGATGCAAAACTGGAGGCAGGGAGACCATCTGGCATATAGACAAAGTTATGAAAAAATGTAATTTATATAACAAAAATCACAATTCTTAACATATGGAGAGCTCTTACAAATCCATAGAAAAGTGGGAAGATAGAGAAGAAATGCCATTGGCTAGTAAGTATCTGAAAAGATATACAAGTTCACTAGAAACAATTACAAATTTTTAAAATGAGAACAGTTCTCATTTATTTGGAAGATAATTTAGCAATATCCATCAAAATTTAAAACATGCAGACCTCATGAATAATCTGTACCAAAAGACATTGTTTCTGTCAAAGAGCTTAGCTTAGTGAAGAAAACAGACATTACTCAAACAGAAATGGTGTAAAAATTGCTGTATAATCTAATGTGGAAGACTTTCTGATTATTTAAACTAAAATAAAAAGCCAAACTGAGGATAGGAATCAGCCAACCAACGGAAGACGCAAGAATATACCAGACAAAGGGACAGTACCATACGAAGGCCTCCAAGTGGAAGTGAACAAGGAGTTTCAAGGAAGTGAAAGAAGTCCAACGTGACTAAAAGGAATGGAGAGTGAGGGCCTGAGCAGCACTTGATCAGGCTGAAGAAGTAACAGCGAAGCACTTCAGAAGGCCTTAACAACAGTTTATTCTGAGGTCAATGAGTAAGGCCTAAAAATGCAAATGACAAGACTTGGGGTTTTAAAAGGTGCTTGAAGCATCATCACGTTACATTTCTAAGCTGCCTTAAAGTTTTATTGACTTGTTAGCATAACTTTGAATATAAACAATACAGTCTGATTATGTATTATATATGAAGATCACATTTTTCCTTTAAATTCTTCAGCATATTAAACAAAAACAAGAACTGAAATAGTTAACTACTGATATTTACTATACCTTATAAATTTAAGTTTCTTTCAAAAGTTTGTAGTTTTTATAAAGTGTGGAAAGTATTCGAAATACTAGCTTACTTTCCTTATATAAAATAATATAACTTTGAACTCTGTCATTATTGTGCCTAATCAATTCTTTACCAGAAAAAAAACATTAAGTCAGTCTGAGAGGCAATTTTCAGTGAAAATAAGTAGCCTGTTTCTCCCTCTCCAAAATCCTCTACCTTGAAAAATGATAGAAGGTAGAGATGACTTCTTAGACCATGTAGCAAAAAATCCTTCTGAATGGTTTGACATGGCTTATAAGTTTTAATAATGCTTCAAAGAAAAGTAACAGACACACAGATGTACACATTCACTCCACAGAAAACATATGAAACACTATGCTAGTTTTACAAAACTGCATTTGGGAGATTTTACGGATAGCTGGAAAACATAATTAATAACTACCAAAAAAGCCCTAGGTAATTGAACTTTATGATCTGTTAAAAGATGTATTCAAAAGCAGTATATTTTAAAAGTTTTCTCTCAAACTAAATTATTCATATTCTTGGTTCCATGCTTTATTTGATGCACACCTCCATCAAAGTGGTCATCCAAACTACAAAATGGATCATGTCTCTGCCCTGCCTGCAAGGTGTCAATGATTCTTCAATGCTTTCAAGACATAGCCTGGACTTTTCATTCTGACATTCAAAGCCCAGCTATCTGGCTAAAAACTGTCTCTCAAACCTTACAAGCTTTATCTTTCCAACATAAACCTTATGCTTAATTAATTTGCTTTTAAAACCTCTTGATATCTGACCAGAATTCTGTCAGCTATGAAAATTCTATCCATCCTTCAAGGCTCAGGTCATATTTTACTGCCCCCATTTCATCTCCTTTTCTGATCACAACTCAAGAAGTGAAACTTCTCTGCACTACAGCATGTATCATTCACACTGCATTTATCATATACTGTAAGGGACTGTACAATTTTCTACTCTAGGTAGTTAGTGTCCTAATGATCAATTCCATATAGCACTTAACATGGCAAGAAATCACTATTAAATGATGAAAAAATTTTCTCTACAAGTTTATAAATTTTCAGATACCCAGAAAAACAGAAGGGATCCCAAACTCCCTTGAAATATATGAATAAAGAAATGCATGTCTGATAAATCATGCATTATTTTGAGGGAGGAAAAAAGGCCCGGAGTTCTCTTGCTGTCTATGTGGACCTGCTGCTATTTTCAAAACAACCATTAAGAAAAAGAGTGGTTTCTTACAATATAAAAATGTGTCAAATTAACACCTGGTACACCTTAAATCTATACAATGTTATATGTGAAATATATTCTATAAAGAGTGATTTCTTATTTACATGGAAAATTTTCTCTTAGTTTTTCAAATCCTTCACACTTTAAACCTACACTAAAATAGCAAGGAAGGCATCAACTGAAGTCCTTAATTTTCTATATCCTATTCCTAAGTAGAGGGTTCCTATTTAACAACAACAACAAAATCTATCTTTATTCAGACACTGATGATTCCTCCTAGCAAAATCCAGACCTTGAATAATAAACTGGACTTAATTTATACAAGGAATTTTGAGAGAACTGGTGAAATCTATATTCCTTAAATCTGAAACAATTGAATTTAACACCAACTTTTGAGGTGAACACTATCAAATTTAAATAATCTTTTAATTATTTTATTACCAAGTATTAAGTTTCAAATATTTTTCAAAAAATTCAAATTTTCAAATATTTTCAAACACATCAAATATAAAAATTACCAAACATAATAATCTTCTTTTGAAAAATATAATAATATCCATCATAGGCTTGAGAAAATATAACAGAATACTATTTATAGGAGATTTATATTTTGAATCAATGTTTTCTGCTATAATTCTTGCATTTTATAAATAAATGTTGAAAAGTCAACATAAAATTTTTCAACCACAACCAAAGAATCAGTATACATTCTTTTGTTCATTTATTCATGCACTTAAAAATGGTTGCTGAGTATCTAGGAGTCTGAAAGACCAAGAAAAATGTTATGGGTCAAACTGTGGTCTCCCAAAATTCTTATGTTGATGTCTTAAGCCCCAGTACCTCAGAATGTAATCTTATTTGGGAATCCGATTGTTGCAGATACAATTGGTTAAATTAATATAGGGTCATAGTGGATTTGGGTGACCTCTAATCTGACTGGTGTCCTTATGAAAAGGGGAAATTTGGACACAGACAGGCATGCAGGGAGAATACCATGTGACTATGAAGACAGAGATCTGCAAGCCAAGGAATACCAAAGACTGTCATTTAACTACCAGAAGCTAGGAGAGAGGCATGGTACAGATTTTCCCCACAACCCTCTAAAAGAACCAACCCTGCTGACACCTTGATCTTGGACTTTTAGCCTCCACAACTGTGAGGCAATACATTTCTGTTGTTTAAACTACCCAGTTTGCAGTACTTTGTCACAACATCCCCAGGAAGCTAACACAGAAGGCTTTTCTGAAGAATTCTCATTTATTTTGAGACCTGAAAATGAAGTAGGAATTAGCTAAAGAGACTGGAGAAAAGAGCATTCCAAGAGTTTGGGAACAGCATACTCAAAGACAGAAAGGAGAGACAATGAATGCAATGGTTAAGAGTAGGGGTTGGCAAACCAGATTCAGTCCAGCCCATGACCTGTTCACATCCATGCTCATTCACTGATATATTATCTATAGCTGCTTCCATGCTACAGAGACAGAATGAATAATTGCAACAGAGATCACATGATACACAAAGTCTCAAATATTTACTATTTGGCCCTTTATGGAAAGTTTGCCAACTCCTATTAAAGTATGAACTAGAGTCAGACTACCTGGATCTATCACTCAGTAGCTGTGTAAATATGGAAAGCTTACTTAACCACTCTGTGTCTCATTTTCACTTATAAAATGAGAATTAAAAAAACTCCCCTCATAAGGTTGTTCTCAGAATTAAATGTATTAATATATATGAAGTACTTATAAAGTACTTATAAAATCACAAGCATATTAAGTCTACATACTTGTTTGCTATTATCATCACCACTATTAAGTGTGAGGAACCAAAGTTGACTGGTGTGCAGAAGACAGAGGCTTGAGATAAACCTGGAGAGCTAAATGTGGGCCAAATTATGTGGTAGACCACATTACTACATTTTAGAGTTTACTTCAACATGAATAAAAGCCTTCAATGTAAGGTTTTAAGTTTAAGAATAACATTATTGGAATAGCATATTTTCCCAGAAGAGAGAAATTTGAGGTGATCATGATAATCCTTTTTAAAATCAATAACCAAATTATTATTTAACAGCAAAATTTTACAATTTGCTGCAATTCTGGGGTGTATATTACTGAAATATATACTTTCAACAACTTTACGAAGTTGGTTCAAGTTATATGAATTTTACAAGTAAAATGAAGTGCCTTAATAAGATAACAGATAGGAAACAAAACTCATGGATACAAATTCCCATGCAAATCGTTCTTTAAAGAGGTTTCCAGACTTGATGGGATTACTTTAGGTCAAACCTTCAGGAAGAAGCGTCCTCTGATTGCTATTTTCACTTCTACTGTGTCATGGTAACCATGTAACTCATCATCTAATCTGGGAAACTTTTGAGTCTTTTAACGATTAAAAGTTTTCCCAAGACAGCAAGCATAACTGTGCACTGTTGAATACATTCTCCCTGCAACTCTGTCAGTTAGAAAATGGAGATATCTCATGAAGCCGAACTGCCAATAAGAAGTCATTTGAAAGCATGAGATATTCTTAAGAATTGCACATGACCAAATTTTTAGTACAAAACTCATTAGTGTGCTAGCAACAACAGAACCAACACTGTAGCCAAAAGGAGTTACGCACAACATGATCAGTGTTGAATATAAGGTTTAAACTTGCTTACCTCCATGACATCTTCTAAAGTTTCTTCTGCATCTGCTTTCTCTGTCATCAATTTGGCTGCCTTAAAATAAGTTTTCATAAGTAGATAACCTTTTTTTGCTCCATTCCAGTATGATCGAGGAATTTCCACCAAGCCATACCCCAACAACAACACAAGAAGAAACAGGCCCCATGTATTTGCAGCAGCTATCCCAATTGTCTGAAGCTGGTTCCTAAGACAGAGAAAACATAAGCAGACAGCTGAGACAGATCATTTTTTCCAAAAGAAATGTAAAATGAAACTAACTAGGGTTAGACAGTTTTTCAGAAAAGTGCCCTAAATGGAAGGCTAGATTTTTACATGAAAAAATTTGACCTTCAAATCCTCAGCTACTTTTTTAGTAACAGCAGATAATGTCTGTTTAAAAGGAAAGTTAAAGTATGACTGCAGAAATAGACTTTAACACAGGAAACGCTTCTATTATAGTTAAAATTAGACTCTAGGATAATTCATGGCAAAAATTATCCTGAAGAAAATTTATTTTTCATTAGGTGCTTTCTTACTCAACATTAACCAAGAGAAGCCTGAAAAATTTTAAAGCCTAAAAAAATTTTAACTTGTGTTGAGGAAGACCCACAAATCTCAAGAACACAATAGTAAGGATTATCATTACTACTCTATTCCTGAACTTTTCAGATCCGGCTCTTCACATATATTACAGATCACAAGTATCTTATAATGCTTAAATTTAATGTTAAAGAGAAATATGCCATCAAATTATACTCAGAACAAAAGAAAAAGTATTCATAAGTTCCAATGAAAAAGAAATCTAGGTATTTAGTCATACATAAGATTTGAAAGTCTATTAAAAAAATCATGAGGGTTAATACTTTTAACATATAGCTCTTAGACGAAGCATTAGTCCTTCGTCTAGTAGGTATATTGAAAGATATTATTCCATATTTTCCACCTTAGTAATACTGATTATTAAGACATTCTTTTGGGGGAATCTATAAAACATATAATGAAAGGCTTCTCAATGAAAAGTCTGTTTACTTAGATATGAGATAAAAGTCAATTTTTAAAAATGCAAATGTACACAGAAACAATGTTAAGAACATGGCTTTTCTTACCATTCTAAGTGTAAATGTGGGTTTACAGCTACATAAATTAAAAATGCTCCAAAAATTAGCAAGTAGGTGCCATAATAGATTGCATTCTCAATCAGTGCAGTTTTGATCTTTCCAGTGATGGAAAACCCTCCTGATCTTGCATATGACTGCATAAAAGGTAACAGAATCCTAGAAGGTTAGAAAAAATATGATTAAAAAACACTTGATATGTCTGTATAATCTCAAAGTAACAGAAATATGTGAATCTCAATTTTAATGTGTAGTTCTTTTCATGAATAAGTATGATTTTGAGTAATTATTAATACTGAACAAACTATGATAGTTGACTGAATAATTTTAATATTAAATTTTGGGGAGAGCAAAGCATATTCCTGGAAGCAAAAGGAGGCCACAATGACTAGCAGAGAGTACAACAGTGTGAGCAACTAATAATGAATCTAAAAAAAGGCCTTTGAAACTTTTACAGAAATTTAGATTGCATCCAAAAATAATGAGGAATCGTTTTCTTCAATAGAAAGGAGATATGGTCAAATTTTAGTTTTCTGAAGTTTTCAACATGGAGAATGGACTTAAAGAGGACAAAATTGGAACTATTTGGAGAGGGTAAGTGATGGCGGTGTGGTAAGAAGCAGAAGCGGGGAAAGCTGGTTGTCAGTATTTTGATTTTGAAGTAGCTAGGACATATCCCAAAGGATGTGTTCAGAGTTCATGAGAAAGAATCAGAAATATACATAGATTTGGAGTCATCACCATAACAATGGTACTGAAATAACATCAGTAGATGAGATCTGGAAGAGTGAATATATAGAATGAATGAGAAGTAAATAACTGAGACTGAATTCTGAGGAATATCAACTTTTAAAGGTAAGATAGACAAAAGAAGAAGAGGCCAGTAAAGCAGACTGAGATAGAAAAATACAGAGGTATGGAAGAAAACTAAGGAGTACATGGAGCAGAAACCAGAAGAATTTGAAAATGGAGAGAGAAAACAATAGAATCAAATGCTGCCAACAGGTCAAGTAAATGAAGAGCCTGTATGTGTGAGTGGAGAAGGAAGGGTAGAAAATAGGGTTCAATCGGTTGAGGAAAGAGTAAACAGTGAGCAAATGGAGACACTAAATATAGACAAGTCACTTAAGAAGTTTGGTTGGGTAGAAGAAACTACGGTATATTCATAAAATGGAGTATTTTACAGAAGTGAAAAAGAAAAGAATACTGAGACATACAATACAACATAGAAGAATCTTCCAAATATGTGAGCAAAAAAAAAAGAGAGAGAGGCAAAAAAAGTACTTACTATGTAACTCCATATTTATAAAGTTCAAAAGCAGGCAAAACTAATCAATGTTGATGGAAATCAGAATCATGTTTACCTTGTGGAGTGTAATGACCAGGAGAGGGGTATGAGGGAAGCTTCTGAGGAGATTGTTAGTGTTCTGTATCATGATCTGAGTGCTGATTATATGGGTGTATTCAGTTGGAAGAAAGTCAAACTACAACCTGTAAACTTGTCTGTACTAATTTACACTTAAAAAAAGTCTCTAAAAATTTTTAGCTGTGATAAAAGTAAATCATTGAGGAGGAAGACAGAAAGCTGGAAAGGGTTGTCATCTGAGAGACTTTCAGTATTTTTTTTTTAAGGATGAGAGAATTGTGCTTGCTTGGTTGAAATTGGAGGCTGTAAGTATAGGTAACAAGAGCTAAAGGAGATGGGTCCATATTTCAGGAAGAGAGATTAATTTTAAGAGTGACTCTTTCATTCCTGGGGCGGCAGAAAGAAAGTGGGTAGTAGGTAGGTTTCTTGGTGAGAAGCTGAAAAGACCTGCCACCTGATGACTTCTTTTCTCATTGGGAGGCAGTAAGGGAGGCAGGAGAGAAGGTGACTGTCTCTAGGATGTAGGGAACAGCCGAAGTTTGCAGTGATTGGAAAGATCTGTTGTGGAGAATGAAGAACAAGCAGACCAGATGAAAAAAGGATGAAAGTCTGGCACTGTTGAGGGCCCAGTTGAGTTCCATGAACATACTATAGGGGCACTATGCTATGCTGTGTGATTTTTCTCTTGCAATGTTCACTACCTTTAGTTTTAGAGCTTTGTTACTTGCATAATATATAAAATGCTCAGTAGGCAGTGGATAAAGTATGAGTCTAGAGCACAGCAGAATGACAACGCTATAGCAAGTAGAAAGAAAAATGTGGAATGCAACATGGGTCAGTGAAACCATGGCTTTGATTAAAGTTATTGAGAGAGTCAGATAACAAGATGACCAAAGATGAGACTCTAGGGAACACCAACTTTCAGGAAACGGGCCACAGAAATGGAATCCACAAAGGAAATTCAGAATGTTGGGTTAAGGACATAGAAAGAAAACCAGGGGATAACGATAACCTTAGCGTGAGCAGTTTCACATAATAATGGGGCTTGAAGAAGGTAAAGAGGGAAGGCAAAAACTGGAAGGGAATGGTAATAAGGAGAATTTCTTCTTCCTGTTTTTTATTTCTTGTTTTGTTTTTTCCTTTCATTTCTTTTAAGATATGAGATTTGAATGAGCAGAAAGCGAGAGGATACAGATTTAAGGAAAAAAATAAGTGACAGGAATAAATTCTAAAATATGAAAGTTCACTGAAAAAATAACCACCTTTTAAAATTTAGCTAAAATTTCAAAAAGTTTATCCTTCACTACAACTTACCATGTTAAAAATTGTGATGTCCAATATACTACCCTCCAGAAAATTGGCATGATCCCATCAGGAATGTAACTCCATGGCTTGAAACACGGATGTTGGCTATTTAATAACAATTTAAAGCCAATTAATCATAAATGATTATTTAAAGGAACTATATAACTAATTTGTCTGTGGCAAAGTTCACTTACATTCAGCTTTCAAATTACTGATTCTAACTTGTACAATTTCATAGAAAACTTAAAACTCAAAGCTGATTGTCAAACTAAAATAAGACACAGAGGGAACAAAACAGTTTGTTCTAAAGAGGAATGCATTTAAATTTTCAACTTTCAGTGTTTTTAGTCACTGAGTAGAAAAGAGGACATAATGTTCTAGTAGTCTAGTAATGTGACAGTTTTTTAAAAGGAAATACATCATGAAATCAAACCTCTAATTTGATTACCTTTAAGGTTGATGATTACTTTTAAAATACTCACCCTATTTGTGGGGTTGGTTATGGTGGGGGAGGAGAATGACATTAGGTACCCTAAAGAAACTGGAACCCTAACTAATCAGTGAGTGTACCACATCTCCCATGGAGATAGATGTCAGCATATATAAATAATTCTGCTGGAATTTTCTGAAGATATGTGTATCTGACCATAGATTCTCCCAGTAACACTCAGCTTTCCTAGACTGTAAGGCTATTCTTTAGTCCAAGGGCTTTCACCAAAAAATTCACAATGGTGCTTCAAGAGGGAGTAACATCTACATTTTAAAGTCACCCATATCCAGCTTAGATCTAAAAATAAATAAGTAAAAGCTATATAAAGAAGCATGGAAATATTACTTAAAGCACTGGTAAAAGCTATACTTCGTATTTCTTAATTTTTTACTTGAAAGTTTGATATGAATTCAACATAACCTTTTGATAATTTGAACTTTATTCTCAGTCTAAAACTATAATGATTTCAAAGGATGTGCAATATGAAAGGAATATCCTACATACAGAATAACCTCTTTGTCCTTTATCACAACCTCGTAAATTAGGCAAATGAGAAAATGCACGTCCCCATTTTTTTTGAACAAAGAGAGGCTGAGAGGACAAATAGCTTTTGAAGTCACATTCTTAGTAAGGGACTGAAAAATCAGGTCATCTTCAAGTTTCTCATTAGCCCCTACTGAAAGGCCTTGTGTACCAATAAATATTAAAAGTTTATTTAAGATTTAAATTTAAATAGAATACAAGGTAATTAAAAGTCTACTAGCAAAGGATGAAGGGGAGGAGGTGAGTAAAGAATGAAGATAATCTTTAATAAATATAAAATCCAGATGGTAAAAAACTGACTTTTTAAACAAATCAAATTGAATTTGAATATACAATAAAATTACAGTGAATATACAGTGGAGAAAAAGCAGTCTTCAATAAGTGGTGCTGGGAAAACTGGACAGCTACATGCAAAAGAATGAAATTAGATTCATTCTCTAACACCATATACAAAAATAAACTCAAAATGGACTAAAGACCTAGATGTAAGACTGGATATTATAAAACTCCTAGAGGAAAACACAGGCAGAACTCTCTGACATAAATCACAGTAATATTTTTTTCGATCCATCTCCTAGAGTAACGGAAATAAAAGCAAAAATAAGCAAATGGGACCTAATTAAACTTAAAAGCTTTTGCTCAGCAAAGCAAACCACAAACAAAACAAAAAGACAACCCATAAAATGGGAGAAAATATTTGCAAATGATGAGATCAGCAAGGGATTAATTTCCAAAATATACAATATAGCTTAGTATCAAAAAAAAACCCAGCCAAAAAATGGGCAGAAGACCTTAATAGACATTTCTCAAAAGAAGAGGTACAGATGGCCAACAGGCCCATGAAAAGATGCTCAATATCATTAATTATTAGAGAAATGCAAATCAAAACTACAATGAGCTATCACCTCACATCACTCAGAATGGCCATCATCAAAAAGTCTACAAATAACAAATGCTGGAGAGGGTGTGGAGAAAAAGGAACTCTCCTACACTGTTGGTGGGAATGTAAACTGGTGCAGTCACTATGGAGAACAGTACGGAGGTTCCTTAATAAATTAAAAATAGAGTTATCATATGATCTAGCAATCCCACTCCTGGGCACATATCCAAAGAAAACTCTATCTTAAAAAGATACATTCACTCCAATGTTCACAGCAGCACTATTTACAATAACTAAGACATGGAAGCAACCTAAATGTCCATCAACAATGAATGGATAAAGATGTGGTATATATACACAATGGAATATTACTTGGCCATAAAAAAGAACGAAATAATGCCATTTGCAGCAACATGGATAGACCCAGAGATTACCATATTAAGTGAAGTAAGTCAGAGAAACACAAATACTATATGACATTACTTACATGTGGAATCTAAAAAAATTAAAAAAGATACAAATGAACTTATTTACAAACTAAAAACAGACTCACAGAATAGAAAACAAACTATGGTCACCAAAGGGGAAAGGAGAGGGGAATATATTAGGAGTTTGGGATTAACAGATACACACTACTATATATAAAATAGATAAACAACAAGGATTTACTGTATAGCACAGGGAACTATACTCAATATCTTGTAATAACCTATAATGGACAAGGATTTTAAAAAGAATATATATATATGTATAAGAATATAATATATATATATATATTATGGGTATAACAGAATCACTTTGCTGTACACCTGAAACTAACACAACATTGTAAATCAACTATACTTTAATAAAAACAGACACTTTTAAAACAAACTCCTCCCTACAATATTTTTTAAAAAAGGAAGAAATTACCTTGGCACTGGGGTAGCAGTTGCATACAGTCCTGTAATATTGCTACTCTCAGGAGGGCTCGAGTTCGCAGCAGCATGCTTGCACCGGTTGTATATTGTCTAAAGCAATGAATGGACGGTTTAAAAATGAACATCAAAAGGTTACCAAATACTTAAGGGATACTAGAGTGTGTCAACCTATCTACCCAAAATTATCTTCCTGGCTACACTTTTTAATGATCAAATTCATATAATAATGTATAACTTCAAAATATGTTAAACTTTACATACTTTAGCTGTCTTAAAAACATATCTCAAACATGCTGTATGATTACAACTGTCTTTTAAATAGTGAAAATCAGTTTCACCTCTTACCGTACTAACATCCAGAGGCAGTATGAAGACAATAAGAAAGCAGAGATACCAAGCTAGCAGTGTTCCAACAATTACAAGTCTATGCTGTTTCTTAAAGTCTCCATATCGATGAAGTAGGAATAATGCCAGAAAAAAGACAAAAACAATCTCGAGTCCCAAAGCTGCACCACTCATTATTCAAATGTTCACCGTGAACAACCAAAGTAATTCATATACAGATCTCGATCATATCTGTAAACTGGGGGGAAAAAAAGCAGTGTTAACATAGGAAATGGCCAATCGGAAATTTATTAATGTATTCATAAACTTCTTTAGAAAATGTCAGGCTTTATATTGGACCAAAAGTAAGATGAAAAGGATAATTCCTATTTTCAAGCACTTATGTCTTATTTTTTAAAGCATTTGTTGAAAATTTCATATAAATTATGTCTTCAGAAAAAAGCTATTTTAGCAAAATTTATACTAGCTCTAAAAATATTAATCAGTAAGAATATTAGATGTGAATAGTTTCAATATAGTATCACGTGGAGTTTGTTCCTTAATATTATAAATCCTAACTGAATGTTTTATATTAATATACTATTGACTGGATTCTAGGAAATTAAATATTTTGCAGAAGTTTTCAAGTCACCCACAGTCATTAATCAAGACTTTCTATCAGAAAAGGAGGGAAAGAAAGAAAGAGAGACCATTGTTTGATGCAGTATTTTTCTTTCTTTTTTGCTACCTATCTAGCTTTCATGACTTGAAATTCTTATTCATTTGCTGTTTATAAAATATACTTATTACTTTTCATCTATCTATATAAATCATATTTAAATAAAGGAAAATTTATCAATGATTACTGAATAGTCATACATTTGAAAATATTTTTAATTATAAACGCTGATGATACAGACATCAGAAAATGGTTTATGTGATTATCTCTCTACTCTGATAAAATAATTTACCTTTACTAACTGAAGGCAATTTCACCTCTGTAAAATCAATATCAGGCATTTTTGTTTGTTATGAACTAATTACAATATTCCAAGGAATGAATTAATATCTTAATATAGAGAATCAAGAGTATGATGTAACCCACCAAAATAAAACAAGGCAGAATCAATAAAGTACTTCAAGTCAGCAAACACCTGTAACCAAAACTAGTTATTAAAATAAAGGAAGTTTGGGTCCTTTAACAGGCTAAATTTAAATTTATATAAGAAATATCCCTACATGGAATATCACAAAGGAAAATCACATTTAATAAAGTATTTTCTTCACTATTTCTTTATATTGTTGAGGTAGTTTCTTTCCATTCCTCTGTAGATTTCAACCAATATCTTCATTTTCCTTAAATGTCTAAAAATGAACCCCGTTTGTCACTCTCTATTGTCATATCCTGCTATTTTTCTTCAAAGAACTTATCTACCTGATACAATGTATAGTCTTTATTATCTTTATTGTAAACACCCACCACCATATACACACATACAGACTCCGGGAGAGCAGATCTGACTATTTTATTTAGTCCTATATCCCATGTCTCTAATACAGTGTCTGGCATAAAGTGGATACTCAAAAATTATTTGTTGAATGAAAATGAATAAATAAAAAACATTACTGTATACTCTAGTATATACACTATTTTTTATTACTGCTGACTTCAAAGGCAATGTAAAACTCTTGTTATAGTCTCCAAAATTGACTTTACAAATACTTATTACATCTCAAAAGGCTTCAAACTCTGCTCATTACTAACTACTACCCAAATTTTCAAATTTCATTTTCAAAGAAAAGAAACTTGTGTCACCACAGGATCAGTAAGTCAAATCCTATTTTTAAGCCAAGAATAGATTAAGTGGTTAGATGAAAGCTCAACAAAGAATGTGCTGATGAAAACTATTACCATTTTCAGGATACAGCTTTAAAAAAAAATCATTCAATGTGAATATAATTATTATATGAAAAATCCTTTACGGTTTGACCTGGATATTTATTTTGCCTGAAGCTGTCCAGTGTAAGGAATATGACAATCACAGAAAAATATCAGAGATTAGCAAGGAAATGCTAAAACACTGCAGAACCAAATGATGGAATATTATTGAAGACATGATGTTTGTTAAGATTATTTAATAACATTAGAAAACTACTGGAACGTTAACTGGGAAATTATATTCACACATTTTTACATAATGTGCATAAAACTAAGAATGAATGAACAATGAAATGTATGGAGACATCAATAATAGTTAAGATCATGGGCAAAAGCAAACAACAACATCAGCTATAAACTTGCCACTAGTTACTAATAATTTTATGATGGCTATCAATTTTTCAGTCTGATTCATGGTCAGTACTTCTAAATGTTATAGATGAATAAACAGAATTATGGACCTTTTATTCTAGTAATAAAGAAATGATTTGGTTACATCTCTTCCTATACTCACTGTCTGAGTCTCCTATTGCTACTGTGAAGAATTACTGTAAACTTAGTGGCTTAAGACAACACCCATATGTCACAGTTTCTGTGGGTCAGATGTCCAGGCACAGTATAGTTCAACTGAGTTCTCAAGATCAAAATCAAGGTGTCAGCAGGTTTGTGTCCCTTTCTGGAGACTCTGGGGAAGAATCTCTTTCTAAGTTCATTCAGGCTGTTAGTAAAATTCAGTTTATTACGGTTGTAGGACTGAGATCCCCGTTTCCCTGCTGGCTGTCAGCTGGCATTTACCCTTAGCTCTAGAGGCTTCTTTCCAGTCTTTGCATGGGGCCCTGCATCCCTCTAAGCCAGCAATGGCTTGTCAAATCCTTCTCATGCTTGAAATCACTGACTTAGTTGGGAGGAAGCACTGCTTTTAAGGGCTCATCTAATCTCACTGGGCCCACCTGGATAATCCAGTCATATTTACTGGTTCCTGGGATGAAGGCATAGATATTCTTGGGGGGGGTGTCTATTATTCTGTTTACCACATCATCTATTTTTATTCAAACTGAACTCTTGTTTTATTATGACACCAGGTTATGCCTAGGGGTGTCCCATGAAACTAGAGTTAAAACTTGGGGTTTTGCTAACATGAGATAAGAAAATAATAGTTTTAAAGTCCATATGTTTGATCTTGTATGTAAATTCAAGTGAGGAATGATTTTTTTCACACTCCAGAATGATAGTACTTTTCAAGGTTCCTTATGAATTCCTATAGCCTGTTTTGGTTATTTCAACCGAGTAATTTTCTGTTCAAAGCTAGGGGTGCCTTATTCTCCATCTGATTTAGCTATTTCTATATTAAATTCATAAAATAATTATCAATTAAAAATAAGCAAAAATTGGATAACTCAAGTTTGGCATATTAAAATAACTGTCAAAGAGAACAGCAATTTGGCAATATGTATCAAAGACCTTAAAAAAAGGTAAATACTCTTTGTCCTAGCAACTCTTCTTCAAATAACTTAGAGAAAAACATAATTAGGAACAAAGATTTATCTACAATATTATTTTTCATAAGAGCAGTATTTAAATATAACATTGAAACAACTTAAATTTTTCTACGAAATAGTTCAAAAAGTCTTTAAAATGTCCACTAGTCTCACTGTGGTCCATTGCCTTTTTGAGAAAAGCAGCCAAGGGTTTCATAAATCACTAATTCTACTAACCTGGCCACGACCCACAGGAGCAGGGATCACTACCTAGAAGAAAGACTCCAGTACAATGATTAAAGGAGCCAGCCAGATTCCTCCAGCCTACAAGGAAGGTAAGATCCAGAGGGGGACACTTCAGAGATGTCAAATGAGGGTACAGGTGGGATCTGAGGGAGTATATATAAGAAACACACATATATCCATGGACAAAAATATATCAAAATGCTAACAGCGGTTGTCACAAAGTAGTAAAGAGGTGACTTTCTTCTTTGTGCTTTCTTTGTATGTGCTTAACTCTAAGTAATAAACATGTATTATTTTATAATTTTAATATTATTTAAAAATCAGTGCAGTTATATGAAAGTAAAACACTAGACAATGAAAAAAACTGCTGTGGTGTTAAGTGCCTAGAATTACAACTGTTGTAAAACACAAATGTTTTATTAAATCATGGTAAATCTGGGTTCCAAATCCCATCTCTAATTAATAATTGTGTAACTTTATGCAATTTAAGCTATTAAATGAGGAAAAATGATCACCTCATACAGGTTGCTATGAAGATCAAATGAGTTACAAAAGTAAAACACCAAGTAAGAGTTCTAGAATGGGTCTTCAATAAATGCTAGTTGCTTATCTCTGCCTCCTCCATACCATCTGCTTTGAAAAGATAATTAGTTCCCTCGATGGTCTGAAAGCATAGCTTTACCCAAAATGGCCTTTTCCCCCTAAAAAACAAACTGTGAATGGATACCAAATGCTTTTTGCTTCTCATCCTCTATGGTTACCACAGCCTGGGCCCTCACTCATTCCTATAAAACAAAAAATCTCACAGAATTGCTCCCCTTGTCTCTCTTGACAAGTGGGATTACCTTCCTAGGTCTGCAAGATATCCCAAACACACCTTCATCTGTCCTTTGTGTTTTGTCCATTGTGAAGAGACAGAACATATCTTAGAGCCATGTCAAGAAGGTGCACTTGACACACCAACGTCATGTAGAAAAGACAACATTATTCTTCTAGGCACATGATCAAAATGGGGGTGAATCAAAATGGATCATCTGTTGAATTGTAATGATGTGCAGCTATGCAAAAATACACTTGGGGCAAAAGGGCAAATAAATATTCCTTTGACCACAGTAACAGTCCTTCTAATAATATTCTTCAAGTATTAAAGTAATGTGTTTAGGCTAAATGACAAAAATTTTAACAAATGTTAAAATCTGAAGGCAAATCAAAATTTAATTCCATGTGATTAGAAATGAAAAAGAGACATAAGGCTATCATAGGTGAACATTAACACCACAGGAGCAAAGTTGATTTTACTCAAAATCAAAATATTAATTCATTCATTCGATCAAATTTTAGCACCTAATATACAGGCACAGTTCACCTTCCAAAATGTCAGTTCTGAAAGTCAAACATTTAAAATCCAATTCAGTGTTTTACCAATCATCATGATATTATACAATACTACTTTCAAATGCCTTAATTTGTTTGTTAACGTTACCAACGTGGAGGACTGTTTCCTGAATACTTTATGGTTGATAAAGGTTTTTCAGGCTAAACACGCTTTAAATGGAAAATTCAAAGGTTAAGATAATTTTGGAACCTAA